TGCCATTTTAAAACTTTACACAGATGTTTGATAGGATTTAGAATAAGAATGGCAAACTATTACCTGGTGGGCAACACAGCACTGATAGCATTTTTATTGACATTGTATGAAGGTTTTTATTTTATGTTCCTAGCAGTTATTTTTCTTTTCTTTTTTAAAAAAAATTTTTTTCTGAATATAAAAGGCCATATAAAATTATTTGGCACGTGAACCTCAGGTGTGAAGTAATGAACTAGTCATTAGTCATGGTTTGGTTTAGCGTTCTAACAGGAATTCACAAGATTAAAATTCCTCATATCATATTTTCTTCTACCATCCCATAGACTCAACACGATTTGTCACATAGCTTTGGTCTCATCTTTGATTCCATTGAAGAAAGCAAGTAAGTGTGGCTTGGGGCCAGACTGCCAAACATGAAAGATGTGGGCCCACTGCTATGGCTTTGTAAGAAGGCTGGCAATAATATCAACGATGCCACCTTAGCCCAAATATATCTGCTTCTCTTCCTCTCCTTCTGTGGACACCTACTCTTGAGGAAATAATATAATTTTAATCTGTTAAAATCTGTCATCTCTACTTAAAATTATTTTTTTTGAGAGATTAAATTAAATTGTACATTAGTCAAACAAAAAACTTGATTGCTTAATGCCTGGTTCTAGACTTATGAATAATTACCTGTAGTATCACATTTCTTGGAATCCTTTCAAAATGCTGTGATTTTATATAAATGAATAAATTATAGCATGAGAGGGAGAAAACTTAGTGTATAGTATGCAGGCTCATAGACTGATAAGACTTGTGATTATCATAGTAACCCAAATTGATTTTCAATCATGTTATAAAACTAGGAAAGCTAACTGAAAGCAAATTTACTTTAACCTATGAGAGTCAAAAATGTAAATCTGTTAGAATGTTAATATACTGACCCTTGATAATTAATGGTATAAGTATCTGATATACCAATGGGAACCCAAAAAGGGGAAACAAAACACATACTTTGCTCTTATTTAAATCATGTTGCCATCACACACAAATCAGCAAGAGTTAGAAATGTTTAATCCCACATTCATTATGAAGCCACAGAATTAATTGTGAGTGGTATAATCTTTAGGCAACTTTCTGGTGTGAATTAAGAAAGTCATTCATAGTCATTGAGCATCTTTTGCTCTCCTTGTCATGCAAACCAGAAAGTGGTAGATAGATCCATTCTTATCTCCCACTATTTTTTGCCAATTTGATCAATTCTGCTCTGAAAAGTAATTAACGTTCTTTAAGAGAAACACAGCACAAAAACAATGTGATACAGGAGAAATAGCATTGGACAGAGACAGGAAACTGTGCTAGTTACCATGGGCCTTAGTATCCATATATGTAAAACACAGGACTGTATTAAAATTTGGTGGTGGATAGCGACCCTGTACAGGGTTTCTGAAGCTGTAAATCTTTACAGGAACAGAAAGCCTCATTTTTCTCCTATGGAGCAGCTGGTAGTTTTAAACTGCTGACCTTGAGGTTTGCAGCCCAATTTGTAACCACTACGCTACCAGAGCTCCTTGTATTAAAATTTACTGTACTTCATATTTCATTTTTAAGTAGGAAGAACTTAAAAATAAATTTCTCCTGGAACCTTGTGGTATAGTGAATTATTTAATCTCTCTTCTAGCCATAGTCTTTGTAAACCCACACCAAATAACTTTTTTCCTGATAGATGTGGGTAAGGGGGTGGGGAAAGATACTGATTGATTATATGATTCACTTAAAAGTTATTGTTGACAGGATTGTGATTGAAAATGCTTGAAATCTAATGAAGGGATTGGTCAATGTTACCATCCTATTGAGTTTTAAATGAGCCATCTCAGTCACAGGCAGGTGGATTTCACTACTTAATTATAGGAGCTAGGTTTGCTGACCCACGGAGCTAGAGAGAGTACCTATGGTGGACTGGTGTGTCCTGTGAGCATTTATCAGCAGCCCTAAAATAGCTAAGTAACATTGGCCAGGCAGAGAGAGATCTGCCCATGGGCACTTCTGAGGGGAGGCTGTCCAGACTGGAGCAGCTGTGTCCTGAGCACTTTCTGTCCCTGTTAACTCTCCTAATAAACTGTGTAACTGTGAGCATGGTATCTGAGTTCTGTGAGAATGCTGCAAGCAATTATTGAACCTAGCATGAGTAGAGAAGGTTGTGGGCAGCATGATTGGGGTCACATTTAAAAAATAACCTCAATGTACAAAATGGGCGAAAGTGGCGTTTTGATTGGGCAGATCTGTTTGAAGTCCAACTCTACTCATGTGACGATGTAAACATGTGAAGGCAGGTTACATGGTGGTCAAGACAGTGGCTTTTGGTGAGAGATAGACATTGGCTAGATTCTGGGCACTACTATTAATTAATTACAAGCTTGAACAAGTTATTTAATTTCCTAATATTAAATTTGAATATGAGTTTGATAATGGGGACTAGTACCTGAGGTTACTGTGAGGATTAAATGGTGTATTAAGCCTGTGAAGCTCTAAGCACAGTGGAGTAATTACTCAAAGGGTTAGAGTTGATTTAAGCAAAGAGAGACTTGTTGAATGAATGAATGAATGAATATATAACTAGTGTTTTATTTCTGGAATACCGTTCTATTTAACTAACATTAATATTCAGACTTGCTAAAGTCAACTATTTGCTACTACAAATGATGATAAATTCTGATTGTGGTCAGTCCCATAACTTTTGAAGGGATTTGAAGAAAAAAAAAAATGGGGATGCTAAAATAGCAGAAATAACTTTCATTTAGGGAACAAAAGCATGAAGATCTATGGGACTTGTCAATTTAATGGTTTTTGTTCACTAATGGAAAAAGTTCTCAAAACGAGTTCCTTGAACCCATCTCCAAAGTTTTTGAATCTGTAAGCTGGTTTGGGGCCCCAGAATATGCATTTCTAACATGTTTAACCATGCAGAAAGCATCAAAATAAGATGGAAATTATATACAGAGTCACTGTACCAAAAAGAAATGGTCAATGTTCAGCTATTTCAAGAGGCAGCATATGATCAAGAACCAAAGGTACTGAAGAAAGAAGTCCAAGCTGCACTAAAGACATTGGTGAAAAACAATACTCCATTGATGGAATGCAAATTGAAATCTTTCATAAAACTGATGCACCATTGGAAGCACTCACTCATCTATGCTAAAATATTTGGAAGATATCTTCCTTGCCAACTGATTAGAAGAGATCCATATGTGGGCCGATTCCAAAGAGAGGTGATCTTGTAGAATGCAGAAATCACCACACAATATCATTGATAATCACATGTAAGTAAAATTTTGCTGAAATAATTAAAAAAATGATTGTAAAAGTACATCGCCAAAGAACTACCAAAAACTCAATATAGATTCAGAACATGGAATGACGGATATCATTGCTAATGTCAAATGGGCCTTGTGTGAAAGCAGAGAATACCAGAAACCTGTTTCCTTGTGCTTTATTGATATGCAAAGGCTTTCAACTGTGGATCTTGACATGCTATGGATAACATTGCGAAAAATGGGTATTCCAGGACACTAAATTGTGCTTATGAGGAGCCTGTTTATATCCTAAGAAGCAGTTGTTAGAACAGAACAAGGGGATACTGAAGGGTTTAAAGTGAGCACCAAGGCTGTATTCTAGTACCATACTTATTCTATCTGTATGCTGAACAATTAATCCGAGAAAGTGGATTATATGAGAAAGAGCTGGCCATCAGGCCTGTAGGAAGACTCACTAACAGCCTGGGATATGCAGATGATACAGCCTTGCTTGCTGAAAGCAAAGAGAAATTAAAATGCTTACTGATGAAGATCAAAGACCACAACCTTCAGTATATAAAGAAAACAAAAATCCTCACAACTGGACCAATAAATAACATCATAATAAGCAGAGAAAAGATTGAAGTTGTCAAAGATTTCATTTTGCTTGCATCTACAATCAACATTCATGGAAATAGCAGTCAAGAAATCAAACGATATAATATATTAGGCAAATCTGTTGCACAAGAATTCTTTAAAGTGTTCATCAACAAAGATATCAGTTTGAGACTAAGGTGGTCCTGACCCAAGCCATGGCATTTTTAATCACCTTGTATATATGTGAACGTTGGACAACAAATAAGGAAGACCATAGAGAAACTGATGCATTTGAATTGTGGTGTTGGTGAATAATATTGAAAATACCATGGACCAATAGAACAAACAAATCTTTTACAATGTGATGCTAAAGCTGCTAAGATTAAAACCCATTGCCACTGAGTGGATTCCAAGTCACAGCAGCCTGTAGAGCATGGCAGAACTTGCCCACTGGATTTCCAAGGAAGCAGAGTGCCGTTATCTTTTCCCAAAGGACAACTGGTGGGTTCAAACTGCAGACCTTTTTGGCTAGCAGTTGAACACTTAACCACTGTTTCACAAAGACTCCTTCAGAATCAAGAATCATTTCTTTACCATAAAGGTTTGTTGTTGTTAAGTGCCACTGAGTCAGTTTCAACTCACAGTGATCCTGTATAGGGTTTCCAAGAAGCAGCTAGTGGGTTTGAACTGCTGACCTGTGGCTCAAGGTCCAGTGCTGATCCTACACCAGGAATCCATTACAGTAAAAGTAGAAGTGATTAAATAATTTACTTTTGGATTACTTTGTTTGGAGTGCAGACACTAAATACTGAAAAGTTATGAATGTAAATATATGAAGGACCCCCACCTGCTATGAACTTGAATACTGCAGTAATTATAAAATTTATGATTCTCACTAGATATTTTCTTGTTTAAATGTCTCCCTATGTATATATTTTTCTTATTCATTTTTGTAAAGTAGTTCTCCCTCCCAGTCTTTCTTTTTTAATTTTACTTTCAGTGTGAACATTATTTAATGTTCAAATCAGAAGTAAACCTTTGAAACACGTTGCTCTACTGTTGGGTTTGTTGATAAGTTGTTCCTGCATTGTTAGCTTTTATACTGAAACTTGTTTTCTTTTGTTGTAGTATGGAAGAGAAGAGAGCAACTGGACAATCATTGTATCCTGAGTGAGAAACACAGGATATCATCTGTGTGCCCCTGAGACAGACAACACATCTGAACTATTATAGACTCCCTTGGCTACCTTTCTGTAGTTGTGCATAATGTAGTTTGTATTCTAGGTGTGTTACAGGTTGATTGTTTCTTCCTGCCAGAAAAAATGAATTGCAATCATAAAATGATGGTTTGTAAACATGGTAGTATAAGCTTACTCTACCTTCTCTTAGGAAGATGATAATGTAAGCCAGATAATATAGAATTTTCTGCAATAATTTTAGTGCCTCCCTTAGTACTTGCATACAGAGATGTTTGTTCATTTGTTCTTTAGTATCAATTGTGTTCTCTGCAAACAAATGAGATTTTTTGTGTTTAAAGCTGACCTAAGTAGATTTCATAGAACATTTACTTTGGTGCACCTTCTTTCACAGAAGGTGTTTTCTGTTAGCATTTTTGTTTTCTCTCTGCACTATTCAATGGTGTGGTTGTGTGCCACCAAGTCAGTTCTGACTCATAGTGACCCTGGATAGGGTTTCCTTTTTAAGTCAAGACTTTAAAAATCTAGATTTCTTCCCTTCACTTTCCCACCCACCTTTTATTTTTACAGACCCCTAAATTCATCTTAGCTTAACTTCCTTTCTTCTTCATGTTCACTCTGTGCATCAACAAACTTGGGTAGTGTTTAGCTGTTGTCCTTTTCATACCATATTGTAACCAGCTGTCTGTCAGGCTCCATTACAAGACTAAGGGTCTTTTGCCTTATATATCTCTGTATCCCCAATGCTTGATACATAGTAAGTACTCAGTAAACTTGGTGTATACTGAATGAACAAACACTTAACTTCTATAAATGTGCATCTTCTTCATTTCTATATTATGAAAACCTCTTTGTTAGAATTTATGATGGATTGTTATATTTATCTCATGTTGTCTTTATTTTACATGGACTTATAAGTCTTAGGGATTCTCAGAGGCATACTTAGATGGAAAAATTATTTAATATTTCAAGACTGTCTTAGACTTGAGGGCATAGTCTAGAAAGAGGTCTAGGTACCAAACAAAGGGAAATAACAAATGTTTTATGTTAAGTGTTAAATATAAAATAAATCATCATATTTCCTTTTGGGGGTAGAAAGCAAAGAGGTATGTTGTCTTGTATTCTCCGTTTTCAGATGGTCTTTTCTGTTGAACTGGATTTGATGAGTGAGTGCTTAGAGTACAGAGAGAGCAGATTTTTTTTCTTCATTTAGGATCTGTAGGTTAAAATTTTATCCTTCTCAGGTTATCTAGAAGAAAGTCAACATCTGTTAGACACCATTTGCTTTTTGAAAATCAACTTTCAAATACTTGGTTTCCCTTATTCCTAATAGTTATCATCCTAATGGTCATATTTCATTCATTTTTCTGAGTAAGGGGAAAAAATATGAACTTTGATGCATTGGAAAAAATGTCCCTAAGGCAAACGGGACTTTGATTCTTTTATAAGACTTTTATAACCATGGGGACTTTGGAAATAGAAATGGTAAAATGAAATCAAGAAAGTTTAAGATGAAAAAGAGTTTCAAAAAATACCATTTGGGGAATTGTTAATTGGTGATCTGAAATCTTAACAAGCATCTACCCTTTTCAAACCTCAGTGTTTTTGAGTGCCCTTTGCACATAGTCATTTAATAGCAACATAAGCGTTTGTTTGGCTAAAATAGCAATGTAAGAATTCACCTTGGCTACATTCTTTGACCTTATTTTTAGTATAGTATTTTTAGTGTAGTGTAGTGTAGTGGCATTGTAGGATAAGCACTGGACTTCTAATCACAAGGTCACTGGTTCAAATTCATGAGCCACTCCTTGGAAACCCTATACAGGGTTATCTATGAATCAAAACGGACTCAACAGTGTTTAACAACAACAACAATCTAGAAAAACGGGGTGCAGTGGTTCTGTAGGATAGGCACTGAACTGCGAACTATAAGCTTGGTGGTTGGAGCCCATGAGCCACTCCACGGGAGAAAGATGAGGTGTTCTACTCCCACAAAGATTTCAAGTTTCAGAAACCCGTTTTGGGGTCGCTACAAGTCAGAATCAATTTGATGGCACATAACAGCAACAACAACAATCTAGAAAAAGCGTGTAGTAATTTTTAACCTGTAAAGTAGCACATAATAACTAAATTGAGATTCCTATGAGAAGTAGAAATTGCTTGTTGTACATTTTATGTTTTTCTTCTCTTGAATTTAGTATGGCAAGACATGTCCATTGTGAAAGTTAGATAATACTGTGTATTTCATAAAACTGTAAGAGCATTTAAAACCATTTCTACTACACTTAGCGAAGGCTAAGAATACACATTTAAAAAAAAAAGAAGAAGTAAAACAAAAAATAAAACCAAAGATTTTTAATTTAAAATAACTGGAGGTTTTTCCTAATAGAACACAATCTGCCATTCTCATTCAAGTAACAAGGCAGGAAGAATTGACCTAGACACTGACTTGTTAAATAGGTTTTTACAGGAACATCTGCACATCTTTTTCCTTGTGCACTATTTGTTTAATTGCAGTGGGTTAATACAGCAAGAGTGGCACATTATAGCTAGGCAATTATCCATCCTTCAAGACTTAGTTATCATAACACTAATTGATCATTTAAGGCGTAAGATAGTCTAACATTAGGAACATGTGAGGATAATCTGCTCAAAAAGATTAACAAATTAATATTGTTGCTGATATTTGCATAATTGGCTGCAATTATTTAATGTTTAATTGGGTTGATCAAATGAGATTCAGCAATTCACATGTGCATGAATATAAACAGCCCTGGTGGCACTTAAAATGATAATGATTAACTTATTTTGCATGTTCTCTTCCTCCCACTTTATTCCGTTATTACATTTCAGACCCAGTTTGTCAGCTTTTTCCAAAACACATCAGTAGAAACCAGGATTTTTAAACGAAGTGCTTAGATATAGACAAAACCTGAGTATGTCCTAAGATTATTTGTTGTTGGAATTTTTTTTTTCTTCTATTAAGGATTCAACTCATGATACACACCACAAAAACAGTAAATTTCAGGGAAGTGTTTCATGTTCCCTGATACTTTGCAGTTGGCAGGAATAAATAAATTAATAATACCTGCTTTAGGCTTTGCTTTCAAAAGCACATCAAAAAAGTAAAAAGAAAAGAAAAAGAGAAAGAGATGAAAAACCTTGTTGGAGATTCAGGGGTTTTGTTTTGTTTTATTTGTAACATGGTAAACATCCTGTGGAGTCCCCGAGTGGCACACAGAGTTAAGCACTAAACTACTAGCTGAAAGGTTGCAGTTCAAACCCATGCAGAGGTACCTTGGAAAACAGTCTTTGTGATCTGCGTCTGAAAGGTCACAGCTTTGAAAACTTTACGGAAACAGTTCAGCTCTGCACACAGGGTCACCATGAGTAGGAATTGATTTATTGACATCACTGGACTGCAATCCACAAGGTCGGCAGTTCAAACCCACCAGCTGCTCCTCAGAAACCCTACACAGGGATGCTATGAGTCAGAACTGATTTGAAGCACTTAACAACAACATCAACAACTAGCCTTCTTTATTTCTTTTCTCAAAAGATAGCTGTTGTTCCTAAGGGCTGCTGAGTTGGTTCCGACTCATATTGACCCTGTATAGGGTTTCTGAGGCTGTAAATCTTTGCTGGAGCAGAAAACTTCATCTTTCTCCTGTGGAGTAGCTGATGGGCTTGAACTGTGTAAAAGGGGGAAAAGTCACAGAGAGTGGTAAGAAAGCACAGTACAACATCGACTGTTTAGAGGATCCAGTGTCAGTTGTACAAAGCCTATATTATACACCCAGATATACAGGCTCTCATAGTATTAGTTTTGTTATTTGAAATAATTGTAGCTAAACAAATGGTATCTTGCTTTTTCAAATCAGAACCCTTTTGAGCACTTGAAGGCAATTAATCAGTATGTCTTAGAAGAATTGTGAGATTTTTAAAAGCTGCACTTTCAGCTCATTTTAGGGTGACTATGAAACAGCTACCAGAATAAATTTATCTTCTTTCTCCATTCCCACTCAGTGTTCAATCACTGCATTCTTTTTCCTTTTTAATACAATATGTCCAGTTTACTTTCATGCTTGGGAAAATATATTTTAAGCAGAAACAACATTTGTTTGCTTTCAATGAAATGGCTACATTGAGAATGATATTTTCTAAAGTATTTAGAGCAATATATTCAATGGTTTAGAGTTAGAGAAACATTGTGAGGATCTATTATTTGATGTCTGGATTATACAACTATAATCAAAGAATTCTTTGTACTGTGAGTTTCATTTTATGTGGTTAGTAAAAACTTTAATTATAAATACTATTGCTGACAAATAATTTGAGTAGCATGCTGTAACACTTCTCAAGTATTATAGGTACCATGCATTTACCAGATATCACTTAAAAAGGAGTTAAGGGTACCAATTTTTCAATAAATATTACCTATTAATTGTCAGAGGCCATAGAGATTATCTTTCATTTGATCCATTAGGATGATAAATGTTGATTGAGTGCACTCAAGTGTGTGTCTAACACATTAGCAATAGAGATGGGGAGTCAGTTTTAGAAAGTAAATGGTATGTAGATATTACCCACATGAGGTTTATGGTCAATTTGAATAAAGCTATATATGAAAGTAGTGTTTAGTGCAGTTAGGTAATGAGAATAAGGAAAGACCACATCTCTTAACAAAATATCTCAATAAATGCTTTCATTCATCTTTAAAGGAATTCTTCCTTTACATTTGTTGACTACATTTTTTTTGAGCAATGTTGAGTTGTTATGGTACATGGAACAAAAGAACACCTCAGATAGCAGCATCCTTGCAGATGTTAAATTCAAAGCTGGATAATATTTAAAGAAAGAAAGAAAATGATCCTACAGTGAGTTTTTCTGAAAATTTTCTATTATAATTCAAGCTATTTAGAGGTGTTATCTTGAAAGATGATGGATTCAGGTACTTAGAAAATAATAGGGAAG